TAATACAAAAAAAAGTTATGGCTATGGCTATCCGTTGCTTGTCCCCGGCGTGCTCTCACGTGAACGTAAGGTAGCTTCTGGGAGTTCTCTGAGCTCTCATTCACCGTAGTTTTGCTTTTCTTTGTTGACCCTTTAACCTATGCAAGTTCAGAAAACAAATTAATCAAAAATTTTACCAAAAAAGAAAACCCACAAACCCTTGATCAAATTTACCTTTTGGTTTTGGTTTTCTACCTTATTTTCTCCATCCTTTCTCTTGATATTCCGCTTGTCTAACGTTGGATCGGAAACCAACAGCTGGGATGACCCGGTCTCCGCCGGCTCACTCTTTACCGCCTTCTCAAGATTCGTGCTTAATTTTTTCGACTCAGGCGACTTACTCTTCTCACTCTCATTGTTGTTATTAACTTCTGCAGAAAACCTCGCATCTCGTTCAATCAAACAAGTATTCGAAGGAAAATGGAAGTTGCCTTTGAAATCTTCAACGTTCGGAGGTGAAGCAGGGATAAGCTTCGACGATTCAGGAGAGTAAAGAAGCTCAACTGCTTGTGGAGACGGTAGTTCAAGCAGAGCCGTGAAGGAACTGGCGTTATCAGTTGGCGGAGCCGAAATCAAACGGTGGATTTCGTCGGTGAATTGGAGCGATTCGAACGCCGTAACTTCATCCCCGTCTAAGGCCGTTAAATTAGATCTGGTCTCCGCCGTCCTTGCGTTTGGCTCCATGGTTGAAAGATAAAATAAGAAGCGCCCAAAGTCGAAATTTTGAAAGAATAACCCAGCTCAATTTTCTGGAAAATAAAATGTACACACTTGGTAAGTTCAACCCAATTAAGAGATTTAAGAGATTCGAGAAACAAAGCTTTGATTAGTTTGTTCAATGGCGGTGAGGTGAAGCTTAGAGAAATGATGAGTTTGTTGCACCTCAAAACAGGTTATTTCTCAGCCATTTCAATTACAGAGAAAGCAACGTTGCAGTGGTCGTTTGGTTTATTAATAAAAAAGGGATTATTTTGTTTGTTTATTTATTTGTAAGACATTTTACAATGAAATTCTGTAAATATATATATATATATATTAAATAATATAATAAAAAATATTCAAATGGGTTAATAAAAAGTGTAAGTTCTCAATTAGAGGACTTGTTATAACATAATAGAAATATCTTTGAACCATCTCACTATCGTTACACATATTAATCTGAACATTTATTATAGGTTTATTAATATTTTGTTACACATAATAACTAAGTAGCATACTTGGTCTGGTGGCAAGGGCCATCTCATTTCAGACCCTTGCCCTAGGTTTGATTCCCATCCCCAACAATACTTAGCATTTTATCCATTCATGCCAATACACACCAATAGGATAGCGTGTCACTCTCTTATTGATATAAAATACTAATTAAAATTTAATTAAAAAAGCTAACGTGTCAATTCCACATCATCATATATTAATGATGTGGACACGCCATGTCATCATCGTTGTCCATTTGTGCTTGCTTAGTTAGCTGGAGTCGTTGATCGTCAGTTGACTGACGGTTTTCATCCAACGAGAGGGACTTTTGAATCAGATTTAAACGTTGTGGGGTCAAATGTTAAAAAAAACGATTTGGCCAAGTTTGCATATACTGTCAAACGTTAGGGGTATTTGTTTGCATTATGCCAACTATAAACTCAAAGCATAAACCATATATCCCTAAACCATAAAACTTAAATCTTAAATCTTAAACCCTAAACCTCAACTCTAAAAAGAAAAAACATTATTTTACTGTGAGTTAAATAAATATTTATTTATGAATTATAAATTTTAATTGAATTGAATCGAATCTATTTATTTATTTAAATCTAATAGCTATACATTAATATAAAACTTATTAGTTTTACGTATTATAAGTGGAACCTAACCCTATATGTGTAGGGGTGGGGGAAAAAGTTAAAATTAATAATATTGTTGAGAAAGTTAAAAGAAAACGATTGAACATGAAATATCGTTCAGTATCACAGAGAAGAAGATATATGTATTATAATTTGAAAAATTATTTGATTTATGGATTATATAAATAGACTATGAAGATTAGAGGATAAGAAACAAAAGCATTAAATACTAGATTAGTGGAGTTTGAAATGTTTCTCGATTAAATGGACATTAGATTCACATTCAGAAGGATGAAATGGCTTAAGTGGGAAATTTTGAGACTCATCAACTATCATCTTTGAAGATCATCGATAGTTGGTGTGGCGGCTAGAATTCGAGAAAATTGAGGGGAAAATGAGAAAAAAAGAAAAAGAAAAAAAAAGGTTTTATACAAATTCAAATCGACGTCATTTTAGTGTAGATTTAACTTTTAAGAACCATGTTGTTTTGAAGTTGTATGCCAATTGTTATGTCATACTATCATTAATTATTTAAAAACTGAGAAATCAAAATAAGAGTTCTTCAAAATTCTAATGATTAAATTGAATTTATTTTAATTTTAATCAAGAAATTAGAAAGAGAAAAGAGTAAAAAATTGAATGATGAAATTTATAGTTCACTCTTGTTTCATTCTTTTAATAGGATTTACCCTTATTTTATTATCAACTTACCTTCAACGCATTTCATTCATCCATAGCACATGCACCTCCACGTTATTAAACTCCATCGCCATCCGTTTTGGAAGCCTAATCGTTATTTGTGTTTTTTATTATTATATTTTCATATTTTATCTACAATATAAAATCTTTTTATAATAAATATCTCGATAATACAATGCAACTTAAATGTAAGGTTTTTAACATCTAAACACCAAACATAATCTCAGGGTTAAAAATAATTGGATGTATAGACTAATTGAGATCATGTGCATGCAATTGTCTTGTTTTAGAAAACCAAGGTTAAATAAATATTTAATCATATAATGGTAATGATCCTAAGTTATACAAAGAGCTGAGGATGATCCTATTTTTTTTTAATCTATGTTATACCACAGTAAATACTTGCATATGGTAATTACCAAAGAGAAGATCAGACCCAAATGCAAACCCAAAATTGCCGTGGTTTATTCGCGAAATCATTGGCCATGACACCTGCCATTGTGTCCAATCAACCATAACCGATAATTTTAGCTAGCTTGTTTCCTCCTCCAATTTTATGTGTTTATTGAGATTTCGTTACTCCTGGTACTCTCTACCCTTCCAATGAGTTAAAATCTTTTGATTGCTGCCAGTAAAAAAAAAACTTATGTAATTATAATGTATTGTGTACATCATGCACTATTTATGTATAAGTAATATTACTGTATCACTTCTTTGTATTACCTTTTGCCAAATTTTGTAATTTTAATATGCAAGCATAATACTCATTTATTGATTATCTATAAAAGATTAGGTAAGTATAATATTTAATCGGTTAAGATTTACTTACACAGTGTAATTTTATTTTCGGTTTTACACATATTTAGGACTATTAAATGAGTCTAAATAAATAGTTGTTTATATGATACATATTTTACTCACGGTACTTTCAAAATTTTCAATTTGCTCATTCTACCATTAAACTTCTTATCGTCAACGAACGTCCACAATTGCCCTCATCGTCAAACCCATCTTCGGGCAGCAGTGGCTCGCACCACCACCTCCAACAGCACTGGTGTCACCTCGTTCGAAGCCCTACCCTTCACCATTGATGAAAGCTCGTTGTTCAAATCATAAGAAACCATTCGATGACCCGTCGTCGATCTCAGTCGTCTTTGGACGGTGACTGTCACCGCCAGTACTGATGTGAATGTCAAGCCACCGCGACCAAAACCCTTGTGGCCGATCGTCTAGGCTCCCCGTCGTTTGCTGTAGAGAAATCGTCGAAGGTTCGATGGGATACCAAAGTTTCACATCGATTTTCGGCCACCCCTGCCATCTTTTCGTCTCACCGTTGCCATCGCTGAAGTCCTCTCCTCTTTCTGATCAAAACCTAGTTGATTTTCCCTTTCACCATCGTTGCCTCTATCGTCAGTCGTTGGGCACCTTTTCCGTTTGTTTTACCCTGTTTTACTGCATATCCGATGCCAAAAAGACCATCGAACTTAAACCCGACGTTGTTTTCTGGTCACCCCGACCGTCCATTCATCTAACCCAGGCTCTCCTAGGTTTGCATGAATTAAAAAATCATTTCTCTAAGCCACGCCATAACGGCATGAGAACTTTAACGACATATTGACAAAAAAAACTCAATCTATAAAGTTGAGTGAACAAATTGAGAATTTTAAAAGTAAGGTGTGTAAAATAGGAATCATATGAAAGTTCGGTTGTCAAATTTGTAATTTATCCAGAGAGAAAAAACAATAAGAGAGCCACATTGATTTTTTTTAAAGTACACGCATCTGATTTTTTTTACCAATTTTTTCAGTTCTTTTGAAGGATTGTATTTGACAAGGTACGGGAATCAACATTCAACAACATTTGTTGGGCTATAATTTTTGGTTCCATTGCTGCTTTAATTTTACGAGTATTGACCCACAAATTTCTAGATATAACAAATAAAAAATTAATTTAGTATCCATTTATATTTGATGATGTGGTGACGAGTTTATGAATCTATCCACTAACAATAAAACTATTCGAACCCCATTAAACTTTCTTAAAAATTAAATTTTTAACCCTTAAATAAAATATTTTATATAACCATCATGTAATTCACTGTCGTGATGGTGACGAGCAAATTGTTGGGGTGATTTAGCTTCGACTGGTGATCTTGCGCAAAAATACAAAGACTAGTTCGGTATTAATTACATTATTTTGCATCTTTGGTGTTTAAACACACATAAATCGATAAAACAAAACACAAAAGTATAAATCATTAATATAAATTAAAATTCATTGAGAACACAATCAAACCCCAACCCTAAGTAATCACTAGGGTTTACTGAAAACCAAGTAGTGATTTCTTGTGGTAGTAATGGCTTGCCTTTCTCTTATTACATCAACAACGAGAATATGCATTAATCTTAGACAAACTAAATGACTGCAAGATGAGTAGAGAAACTGCTATTGTAGTAATACGTTGTCGTACGCAATCTAGATGGTGGGGGTAGAGACTTGAAAATTTGAGGAGGAGGTGGAGGTGATGATAAAGGTGGCCGTAGAAAGTTGGAAGTGAAATGAGATGAGATGGAAGAGGCGGTGACCTTTTAACGGAGGGAGATACCAAAGTTTACTTGTAATAGGGGGGAGATGGTGGTGAATTGTACATGTATGGAGGTGGTGGTGGTGACGTGTAAAAATATGGAGGAGGAAGTGGCGACTTATACACATATGGCGGAGGAGGTGGTGGTGATTTGTATTCATATGAAGGCGGAGGAGGTGACTTGTAAATATATGGAGGTGGTGGTGTTGGGGAAAATGGGTTATTTTCCACACGAACGTAGTTTTAAAATTGACCTAAAATGTCAAGATTAAAACCACCAAAGGTTGCACAACGAATAAACCTGTCAAACTATTGAATATTGAAACACAATGGAAAAGAACCGAATAAAAACAATAAAGGAGAGAACACACCAAATTTACGAGGTTCGACGAGAATATCGTCTACTCCTCGGGCACCACATCGGATGATAACTTCACTATATCGCCAATATTACAACAAATAGAATTCTTTAGAATTCCCAAAGTGGGAGAATGAAGAATACAAGAGGAAGAGAGAACTTGTTTTTGGGATGATTTCTAATGGAAATATTTAGGCCTATTTATAGTTGAGTTTTAAGAACAATATGTTCAAAGTTTGGCCACCTACCAAAGAATTTTCCAATGTGTACAAGTTAGCCACCCAATATGAAATTCACATGTTCAAAGTTTGGCCATCAACCAAGATGAAATTTCCAACTTGTCAACTTAATTTCTAGACAAATCTAACAAATCTCCACCTTGGCTTGAAATTACCAAGCCTACTCAACTTCTTCAACTCCCCAAATTTGTAGTGCCTCTAATTGTGCTCACAAGCGCCACACACCTGAAGGTGTTCATACTTTCAGGATGTTAATCAAGTTCAAACAATGATTGAACTTGATTACTGTTACCACCTTGGTCATCATATCTGCAGGATTTTCTGATGTCGCAATTTTTTGAAGTAGAATCTTTCATTCTTCAAAGATCTCCCGCACAAAGTGATTCCTCACGTCGATATGCTTAGTCCTTGAATGGTAGACTTGATTTTTCGCTAATTGAATAGCGCTCTGACTGTCACAATAGAGACTAATGTGACTTTGAACAACTCCCAAGTCTTCCATCAACCCATTAAGCCAAATTGCTTCCTTTACAGCCTCTGAAACTGCCATGTATTCTGCCTCTGTAGTAGACAAGGCCACCGTAGATTGCAATGTAGACTTCCAACATACTGGTGCTTTAGCAAGAGTAAACAAATACCCAGTAGTTGATCGACGCTTATCCAAATCACCAGCATAATCAGAATCAGTATATCCAACCACACACTGACCAAGTTCTTCATACTGTTTAAAAACTAAACCAACATCCACGGTTTGTTGGAGATACCGTATAATCCATTTCACAGCTTGCCAATGTCCTTCTCCAGGATCATGCATGTACATGCTCACAACTCCAACTGCTTGTGAAATGTCAGGACGCGTACACACCATTGCATACATCAAGCTCCCAACTGCATTAGCATATGGAACTTTTGCCATATACACTCGTTCTTCGTTAGTTTTAGGAGATAATTGAAAACTAAGTTTCAAATGAGAAGCCAATGGGATACTTACATGTTTGGTATTTTCATTCATGCCAAAACATTGTAATACCTTTCTCAGATACTGCTTCTGTGTTAAAAAAAGCTTCCATCTCTGTCTATCTCTGCTTATCTCCATACCAAGAATCTTCTTGGCCTCACCTAGATCTTTCATCTCAAACTCTTGATTCAACTGAGCCTTTAATTTGTCTATCTCCTTTTGACTCTTCGAAGCGATCAACATATCGTCAACGTACAAGAGAAGAAAAATGAAAGATCCATCTTTGAGATTTTGTAAATACACACAATGATCATATTTGCTTCTAGTATACTTTTGCCTCCTCATAAAGCTATCAAATCGCTTGTACCACTGCCTCGGAGATTGCTTCAATCCATATAGCAATTTGTTTAGCTTATAAACCCATTTCTCACAACCACCATCTTTGTATCCTTCTGGATGAGTCATATAGATCTCCTCTTCTAAATCACCGTGCAAGAAAGCCGTCTTTCCATCAAGTTGAGCTAGCTCCAAATTCAACTGTGCTACCAAGGCCAACAATATTCTAATGGAGGAATGCTTCACAACAGGGGAAAATACTTCATTGTAGTCGATTCCCTCCTTTTGAGCGTAGCATTTAGCTACCAACCGTGCCTTGTAGCGAACATCTTTCTTGCTATGAGATCCATCTTTGTTTACAAATACCCACTTTCATTCAATGGCTCTTTTACCTTTCGGTAATTGTGCCAGTTTCCAAGTGTTGTTCTTTTGGAGAGATTGCATTTCTTCATCCATTGAACTTTTCCACTTATCACTTTCCAAGCTTTGTATTGCTTCTTGGTAAGTGATAGGGATATCATCATCAACAACTGGAAGAGCATAGGCCACCATATCAACAAATCGAGCTCTCCTTGGCCTTGTAATTGCAAGTGGTTCTGGTGTCTCCAATGGTTCTTGGGTTTGAAACTCTCAATCTTTTGATTCTTCTATTGGAGTTGAAGAATCAGCTGCATCAACTTCTGGGATCATCGTCTGCTGAAACTCTACCTGTTTTGGAGTATGCTCTACCTGCTGCGGAGTACTACTTATTTGGACAGCTTCACTTGTTACCTTCTTTACTAGGGCAGATTCATCAAAGGTAACATCTCTGTTACAAATTATCCTCTTGGTGTCTAAACACCAAAGCCGAAATCCCTTCACTCCATGGGTGATTCCCATAAAGAGAGCATTCTTTGCTCTCGGATCAAGCTTGGATTCCTTCACATGATAATAAGCAGTGGATCCAAATATATGTAAGGAATCATAATCAGTAGCAGGTTTTCCAAACCATACCTCCAATGGTGTTTTTCCTTCTATCGCTGATGACGGCAGAAAATTGATGAGATGGCCAGCATATGTCACAGCCTCAGCCCAAAATGCCTTGCCTAACCCAGCATTAGACAACATACATCGAACTTTCTCCAATAGTGTTCGATTCATATGCTCTGCCACCCCATTCTGTTGTGGTGTATGTCTAACAGTGAAGTGTCGAACAATACCATACTCATGGAAAACATTAAAGAATGGGTCACTTTTATATTCCCCTCCATTTTCCGTCCTAAAACGTTTTATCTTTCTACCAGTCTGGTTCTCGATCATATTTTTCCATTTCAGGAAAATTTGAAGCACTTCATCTTTAGACTTCATCGGATACACCCAAACAATTCTAGAAAAGTCATCTACAAAAGTTACAAAATAATGGTTTCCTCCCAAAGACGATGTCTTTGAAGGACCCCATACATCTGAGTGAATATAATCTACAATACCTTTTGTATTATGTATAGTGGTGTCAAACTTCACTCTCTTCTGCTTTCCCAGAACACAATGCTCGCAAAAGTTCAATTTGCAAGCCTTTGCACCTTTCAACAATCATTTCTTTGCGATAATTTGCAAGGATTTCTCTCTAGCATGTCCCAACCGCATATGCCACAACTGGGTTGCGTCCAAATCATCACCTCCAGAAGCTGCTGCAACTGCTCCAATAATTGTACTACCTTGGTAGTAATATAAATTATTTTTCCTGATGCCCTTCATCATCACAAGTGCGCCATATGTGACTTTTAAAACTCCATCTCTCATAGTGACTACTGAGCCTTTGGATTCCAAGACTCCCAACGAGATGATATTTTTCTTCAAACTGGGCACGTATCGGACATCCGTCAGAACTCTGGTTGATCCATCTTGATTTTTCAATCGAATTGAACATATCCCAATATTTTTATAGGCATTGTCATTGCCCATATAAACAACTCCTGCATTTAGTTCCACTAAATCAGAGAACCACTCCTGATTAGGGGACATATGATAGGTGCAACCCGAATCTAATATCCACTTATCGGAATGGAATGTTGTTGATGAAGCAACCAATGATACGTCAGAGTCATGTGCATCATGCTCTGCAACACATGTATCTGGAGCAGCTTTTCCTTTCTTCTTCAGCTTCGGACAATCTTTCTTCCAATGGCATTTCTCATGACAAAAGACACATTCATCTTTTCACTGTCTGGACTTCTACTTTGATCTCCCTCTCCACTTTGGCTTTTGACTTTTCGAGCGACCTCTTGCCACCATGGCCTCCGCTCATTCGTACTTGCTCTCCTTCTTGGTTTTCTTCCTGAGTTCATAACTATACAAAGCAGCAGTTACATCTTTAAGGGTAACATTATCCTTACCATGAAGTAACGTTGTCTCAAGGTGCTCAAATTCATCTGGAAGAGATGACAACAACATCAAAGCCAAATCTTCATCTTTGAAGATTACATCCATGCCAATAAGTCTTCCACTAGCTCATTGAACGCAGTGATATGTTTATTCATACTGGTGCCTGGTTGATAATCAAATCTGAATAATCTTTTCTTCATGTGGAGACGATTCTGAGAGCTTTTCTTCATGAATTTTTCCTCCAAAGCTTTCCACATCTTACTTGCAGAAGTCTCGTTCTTGTAGCCATACTTCTGCTCCCTAGAAAGACAAGATCGAATCGTACTGCACGCCAAACGATTGATTGTTCCCTATTCTTTCTCCTCCATATATTCGGGCTTTTCTTTCTCAATGGCGATGTCTAGACCTTGTTGGAATAAAATGTCTAACACCTCGCCTTGCCACATTCCAAAATGACTGGATCCATCGAACAACTCCACCGAGAAATTTGCATTTGACATCACCCTCCTCACCGGTCCAGATGAAGAGCTTGATATCTCAACTGATCCGTATTTTGGCATTTTAATTTTAACGAACAATATTCAATATCACGAACTGTATCTTTTCAGCAACGGAACCATCAGGATAACCTCAACCGAAGCTCTGATACCAATTGTTGGGAAAAACATGTTATTTCCTACACGAACGTAGTTTTAAAACTGACCTAAAATGTCAAGATTAAAACCACCAAAGGTTGCATAGCGGATAAACCTGTCAAACTATTGAATATTGAAACACAATGGAAAAGAACTGAATAAAAACAATAAATGAGAGAACACACCAAATTTACGAGGTTCGACGAGAATATCGTATACTTCTTGGGCACTACACCGGATGATAACTTCACTATATCGCCAATATTACAACAAATGGAATTCTTTAGAATTCCCAAAGTGGGAGAATGAAGAATACAAGAGGAAGAGAGAACTTGTTTTTGGGATGATTTCTAATGGAAATACTTAGGCCTTTTTATAGTTGAGTTTTAAAAACAATATGTTCAAAGTTTGGCCACCAACCAAGATGAATTTCCAACTTGTCAACTTAATTTCTAGACAAATCTAACATGTGGTAGTGATTTGTACTCATATGGAGGTGGAGAAGGTGACTTGTAGACATATGGTGGTGGAGGTGGTGATTTGTACTTATATGGAGGAGGAGGAGGAGACTTGTACACATATGGAGGTAGAGGCGGTGATTTGTACATGTATGGAGGGGGAGGAGGTGATTCATAAACATAAGGAGGAGGAGGAGGTGACTTATACTCATATGGAGTTGGAGGAGGAGACTTGTAGACGTATGGAGGGGGTGGAGGTGACTTGTAGACATATGGTGGTAGAGGAGGTGACTTGTGAACATATGGAGGAAGAGGAGGAGACTTGTACACGTATGGAGGTAGAGGCAATGACTTGTACACATATGGAGGAGGAGGAGGTGACTTGTACTCATATGGAGGAGGAGGAGGAGACTTGTAGACGTATGGAGGGGGAGGAGGTGATTTGTAAACATACGGAGGAGGTGGAGATGACTTGTACTTATATGGAGGTGGAGGAGGTGATTTATAAACATAAGGAGGAGGAGGAGGTGGAGGAGAGTTGTACACGTACGGAGGAGGTGGTGGAGACTTGTACTCATATGGAGGCGGAGGAGGAGAGCTATACACGTACAGAGGAGGTGGTGGCGACTCGTACTCATACGACAGAGGCGGTGACAGTGGTGATTTGTAAACATATGGAGCAGGTAGAGGTGACACGTAGTTATCAAGTGGTGGAGCACGATAAGGGTCAACGTCGACAGCTACATTGTTTATTATCAAACACAATGCCAAAGAAAATGCTAAGTGTAGCCAAAGCTTGGCCATTGAGGGCGGAACGAAGCACTTAAAACTTCCACTACTTTGCACTTGTATATCATACAAATCAAGGGCTATTTTTATTACTATTTTGTACAATACAATGGCCAGCTTGCTAGATTTTATAGTGAGATCTCCTACATCCAAATGAATTATAAAGTGATGTACCAAACTTCATGACCCGATCCATCAATTATTTTATTTCCATAAGCAGGTAATGTTATGTTATTTATTGAGGAATAGATGTGACATCCCACTTGCTCCGGTAAGACTTTTGCACATTAACCTTGAAGTAGTCAGAAAATTTTACTTGAACAATTCTCGGCAACCTTATTCCATAAGGTAATTTAATTTTCATTCTATATAATATATCATTTTCTGATTATTAATTCATTTATGTTTTCTAATAATTAATTCTGATTATAATATGTTCGAATATATATTATTAATAATTTTAATTATAACTTGTATTTATAAATTAGAAAAATAAACTAATTTATTGTCAGTTTCATTGGAGAGGTAACTTCTCACCCAGTTCTTTCCTAGACCTGGTCAAAATGTAAAAACAAAAAAATGTCAATTTGTTAGGTTTAAAATAATTACTATTTAAGATTGTAAAATAATTCATGACTGAAGCAGCAGGAGTGTAACAAAATTTTATTTTAAATAGTACTAATTATTTAAATAAATTTTATCATACAAGAAAAATTAGAGTAAACTTATTCCCGTTCTGCTGAGCCACTAATGAAATAATAAGTATTTGCAAAATTCAACTAATAACAGTCCCAATAATTTTGAGTTTTAGTTGTTTTTTTAGTAGCATAGGAAGCCAAAAGGCTAGAGTTCTATATGAACGTAAGGGGACCATGACTGTAACACTCCCGAATTCCATTTTAGTAGTTTTGGATATATCCAAGAGGTTTGTGGACTCGTGGATTTCATAATTTAAGTCGTTGAGTTGAGTTGAGTTGGACTTGGGGCCAATTAGTCATAAAAAGCTTGGGTTTATTATTTTGCAAGAGGAAGTGAGGTTTTATCATTCAAGCCCTAGAGGAAAGTGTTTCGTGTTTAAAGGATTTTCATTTTAGGATTCCAATATCAAGGTAGTGTATTTTTAATCCTTCAGAGTATTAAGGCTTCCATAAATATAAAGAATTTTCTAAGATTTGCATGTTTGAACATTTTAGGTTTTATCTTCGAATTCACCATCAAATCATGATTTAGGTATATTAAATGTGTTTTTATCACACTTTAAGACCTTAAGTAACTCCATAAAGCTTTAGCACATGATTAGAAACCAAACTAAGACATTAGGAATGATTTTTAGGTGTTTTCCGAGCCTAAAGAAGACATTTATGGGTGGGAGTATCGATACTGGATGAACAATATCGAGTGTTTCCCGAGCCTAAATAAGACATTTATGGGTGCGAGTATCGATATTGGATGATCTGCGATGAAATTTAGGGATTTCCAGTTGGGAATATCGATACTGCTAAGGATAGTATCGATACTGCTCCTACAGTATCAATACTCAGGGTAACAATATCGACACTGGGCCTGAATTTTAACAACATAATACATTTTTGGTATAAATACTCATAGGGGAATCGATACTTGACCCTGGGGAATCGATACTTCAAGTGGAGTATCGATATTACAAGTGGAGTATCGATACTGCAAGTGAAGTATCGATACTACCCACTTTGGATGGTTAGATTTGACCTTTTCAAGGCTCCTAAAAGCTAAGGATGATCTGTAATAAAGGAACTTAGTCCGTGAGGGACCCAAAAGACCAAAAGGGCCTAAAAATACTCGTAGGAGTGGGTTACAACTGATGTAACCAAACTAAGCGTACTATGTCAAAGTATCATCAGTTAAGCACGTATCGAATAATTAAGGTCGAAGATCATTGCATAGGATATACTGACAAGCGATACAACGAGTAAGTTAGATTTCATAATAGTGAAGTATTCTCAGGAAACGTCAGTGAACCGACAACGTGTAGGATGTCTCTTTAGTTCAAGGGGTACTAAAGAAAAGTACGACAAGAGCGCCTAGAGTGACACTACCCAGTGATGAACCTGAGTCAGGTATCGGGCTAGCTAGTAATCTAGCCAGTGAACAACAGACACAGTAAACGTTGAAAAATCATGGAACACATAAAGGTGTCCTTAGAGACAAAAGTGACTGAGACGCCTTTAAGTAACGAACGATCAAAATAGATCAGTCTAATAACATAATAATAAACTCTTGTATATCATTCTAATATGATAGCATGAGCTAGATAGTGTCGAGTGAGGGGATGACCTTATCTGACTTGATAAGTTTGGTAGCGAGTTGTCGAGCTACTTTGATTGCCTTTGGGTGGCATTGGTTGACACGTGTGTGTATGTGTCGAGACGTTAGCTCTATGAGGGAGCTTGGTAATAAAGACAAGATAGTAATAAGATAATAATACTATGTGTGATAATTATATGAACCTTATAAGGTAAAATTTCATAAAATTAGCCATTGTGTGATGCTCGGGAAAGAATCAGGACACCCGAGTTAATTTAGCAGTATGACGATCATACTTCGCAATGTAATATTCAAATATAGTTCTGCTAGTGTGTTAGGCACTTCAGTTTCCAGCTAGGCATATATGCCCCAAGAATTGACAGAATAAGTTAGTTGGGTGCACGTATCCGATGCACGTAAAACTTTGGATTGCGCCTCAAATCTTAAGAGTCTACATGTGGGCTAGGGATGTAAGCTTTCGATGCACTTAAAATTTCAGTTCTTACCCCGAGGCTCAAAAGCCTATAGGTAGGCTAGGGACATAAGCTTCCGATGCACGTAAAATTTTGGTTCTTACCCCGAGACTCTCGAGTATTTCAAGGTATGCTAGTGGGTTTTCGTAAGATGCAGAAAAGTCCTCCGATCACACCACTAAACCTACGTCATGTTTGTTTTTATACTTTTGTATACACATGACTTCACGCACCATCATGTCCATGTAATGAATAAATATAGTATTACATAATTATTAGTAGTATGATACTAAGGTTAGAGACCTATTATACGTTTACTCATGACGAGGCCCTTAGTAGAGACTAAGGGAAGCGTGAGGCTTACACTGAGAGGTAAATATGTTGAACCTCGAGTAGGTAGCACTTGATTATCATCATATATGTACATACTTCTTAGTATCATATCTTTAGCATGCTTATGTTTGTGAGACTCATAATGCTACTCTATATTAGCGATTATACTACTGGGTTTTATAAGCTCATCGTTCAGATGTTTCCGTTCACATGTTTTCAGCTTGGGTCGTTCACAGAGCACCGTCGCAGTAGGACTTCCAGCATATCCTTCAGAGTACTGTACTGTAGCTTTTGTTAGTACATGTATTCATAGAGCCTTAACCATGTATTCATATTTATAAGAAAGAGTTTGTATTATTTTGATTTAAACTATTTGTCAGGGAGCTCTAGTTTATAAAATGCTTTTATAATTGTTATTTATGTTTGTATGATGCCATTGAGTATGTTTTAAAAGATGACTTAACATGTTTTGAAAATCAGGGGTTACCTCGATAGCTTAATGTGGCATTTTAAGCCCATTCGAGTTTAAGGTGTTACAATGACAGTCTCTGAGTACAACGTCTTGAATAGAAGGTTATAAAAGAATAACGATATGTAGATCAAACATGGTTGTTGGGACCATCTTGAGTTGTATTTTGTCTTTATAAATATAAAAAACAAATTATTAAATATTTTTTTATAATAATTTGGTATATTAACGATAGTGAATTTTTTAAGTTCTAATAGTGAAATTAAAACATGATTAAGTGTATTTTTGTTAAGATAAACAGAAAACATTGAAATTAAAGAAACTTCTTCATTGCTTTACTTGATCAATTACATGACTTATAAACAATTTCATGCTAGCTAACCAGCTCCTATTATGGTGTAACTAACTAACCAATTAAATGCGTTAACAACCCTTCACTGCACTGCATGCATAGCTGATCATTCTTCATTCAACATTCTAGAATACTTCAATATTCTATCTACTCTTTCTTTTCTCAATTTCTGCAATTGAAAACACTCCAAGCTTTTGCCTAAACCGAGCAAAATAATCATTTGTTAATGCCTTTGTCAACCAATCTACTACTTGGTGTTCTGAAGGATTATAATTCACTTGAAGTTTTCCTGCAACAACACGTTCTCGAATAAAATATATGTCTAGTTCCACATGCTTGGTTTTAGAGTGATACACCGGGTTGGCATTCATTGCAATGGCACTAGTTTTATCATTCCAAACCACTAAAGTAGCTTGAATTTGGATCTTCATATCATTCAGTAATGCTTCAATCCAAACAACATCAGAGGTAACATCAACTAAGCTTCTATATTCTGCTTCTGTGGTGGACCTAGACACTGTCTTTTACTTCTTTGAGTTCCACTGCACCATACTACCACCAAGAAGGACACAAGTTCCAGATATAGATCTTCTGTCATAAATGCTACCTCCACAGTCAGCATCAAAAAATGCCATAAGCTGTAGTGGCTCTGTCCTTGGAAGAAATACGAATCCATAGTCAAGTGTTCCACTAAGATACCTCAGCACACGTTTGACGGCCACTAAATGCTGCTCACATGGTGCATGCATAAACTGAGCTAGTTTATTCACACAATATGCTATATCTGGTCTCGTATGACATGCATACAGCAAGGAACCAACCAGACTACGGTATTCTTTTGCATTTGCTAATGGACTGCCTACGTTAGCTGTAGTGAGCTTAACTGATGCAACCATAAGAGTTGGTGTTGCTGTAGCTTTACTCATCATTGACTTGACCAAAATCTCAATTATATACTTTTTCTAGCTAAGGAAAATAGCACCATCAACACTTTTTACTTCAATACCAAGAAAACAATTGAGTGTGCCCAGATCTTTGAGTGAGAACTTTTCTCCCAGCGACCTCACAACTTCCTTAATGTCCTCTTTTCCACCTCCTATAACAA